AAAAAAAAAAAAATCTAAACAATGCCAACAACAAATCAAACATCTCAACAAAATTCCTAAAATCAAAGCCCTAATTAATAACAACAAAATCCTCAAATTTGAATTCATTCCTAATTAAACTTTAGAATACTCAATTTCAAATTAAAGATGCATAAGATAATTAAAAAAGAAAAAATGAGAAGAATAATTGTTGCCAAAAAGAGAAGTTGCTAGCAAGAGGAGAAGTTGATGTCTATATGTCAAGAGAAGTAAAAGAGAAGTTGATGTAGACAAGACAAGTGGAGAGAAGTTGCATAGTCAATATATATATACAGTCCCCTTCTATTGAGGGATCCCTCAAATAAGCTTATTTTAGGGATCCCTCAATGGAAGCTCTCTGTATATTATATATATATATATATAATATACAGAGAGCTTCCATTGAGGGATCCCTCAAATAAGCTTATTTTAGGGATCCCTCAATGGAAGCTCTCTGTATATTATATATATATATATATAATATACAGAGAGCTTCCATTGAGGGATCCCTAAAATAAGCTTATTTGAGGGATCCCTCAATGGAAGCTCTCTGTATATTATATATATATATATATATATAATATACAGAGAGCTTCCATTGAGGGATCCCTCAAATAAGCTTATTTTAGGGATCCCTCAATGGAAGCTCTCTGTATATTATATATATATATATATATTCAAAAATTGGGCAACAGTGCTCTTAACATAGAAATGCCCTTGCGTGAAAGGCATTGCAAATGGTACTCGCTATAGGATAGCCGTGATGGTTCTCACTCTCTCTGTTTCTTGATTTTTAATGGAATATCTTTCAGTATAAATAATAATAATAATTCTTTATAGTTTTCTTTAGAAATTTAACTCTTCATAACATAAATAAATGAAGTGGACAAGAATAAAAGTAAAAGAAAATGGGGATAGAGGTCGAATTTGAGTAAAAGAGAATGATCACTGTAGGGGGTTTTTTGTTCCAGCAGCCTGACGAATGGGCCTGGGCTGCTGGAAGAAGGCAACGAGCAAAAATCCCCCAAATGCCTGAGTTCGAAAAACAAGCTCCCAAGAGAGTTTTTAGAAAATCTAATGAGATTTTAAAAGAACACTCTCAGGATCACTTCACTAACACCCAAATAAGCATGAGGATTTCATTAATGGCTTAGCTTGAGGAGCATGTGGCATGGGAGCTAAGCTTTCACAAGTTTAGCAATTTGAGAGAGAGAAGACAGCGTGGGTTTCTTACGGAGGAAATATCAGTGCGAGCCCTATCCTAAGAAGAAGAAAGATGAACAGAAGAAAGGCTTGGGTGGCTTGAGAAAATTCCAGATTTGCTTGACAAAGCTTGGTCAAGGTCTGGATCGTTGAGTTGTGTATGATTTTTCTGGGTAGTCAAAGTCTCCTTTTATAGGCGTTAGGAGCTCCAATTTTGTTTGGTTTTCTTCTTCCTTTTTCCTGGGCAGCTCCTACCTAGCTCTATTTTGATGAATTTCCCCACCCAAGGAGCATGGGTAAGGAACCCTTTATAGTTCCAATGGTTTGACGCAGCTGGGCTTTCCCATAGAGGGGAAGGCGCCACCTGCTTTACTTATGTTCTCTCCAAGGCAGAGCTTACAGAGGAAAAGGGGAGAGGTGG